CAAGAGGCAGACTCTGCGACTGTGTGAGGACCAGAATGGCAATCCCTATGTGAAAGGTACTGAGCAGACCAAAGGTGACTTTGTGAGCCCCAGAGGGAACTTGGAAAGAGACTAGGTGTTCCCATCTTACTTACATATGCCCTTCTTTCCTTGACCTCAGATCTCAATTGGATTCATGTTCAGGATGCTGAGGAGGCCTGGAAACTCCTGAAAATGGGTCGTAAAAACCAGAGCTTTGCCAGCACCCACCTGAACCAGAACTCTAGTCGCAGGTGAATGGGTTGCAAAAGTAAACCTTTCTTGCTGTGTTCCTGGAAAATAAGTCTCCCATCTGGTCATGTAAGCTATACATTGACGTTTCTCTTTTTCTTAACTATCAGTCACAGCATCTTCTCAATCCGGATCCTACATCTTCAGGGGGAAGGGGATATAGTCCCCAAAATCAGCGAGTAAGTTTTCACTTAGAAATCTGGGCTTCTTGGCCATAAAGGGTAGTAGAAAGGAGATGGAGGTCCTCAGTGAAATTACCTGTTATATAGATTCCTGCTGCCCTTCCTTGGGTACAGAGATTCTTGGGGGGAGGGGGCGGTCTCCCCTGCTTAGAACTATGTATGAAGGACTAAAAGTCTCCTAACATACAGTCCTCATGTCTGATTCTGTCTGGCATCTTTCTAGGTTGTCACTCTGTGATCTGGCTGGTTCAGAGCGATGCAAAGATCAAAGGAGTGGTGAGCGGCTAAAAGAAGCAGGAAACATTAACACTTCTCTGCACACTCTGGGCCGCTGTATCGCTGCCCTGCGCCAAAACCAGCAGAACCGGTAAACTTTAGACTACAAACTGGTCCAATGGTCTGCAATTTTCAGATGCTGAGACATCCTGGTGTCCACTAGGATTCACCCAAGGCTGGAGTTCTGTTCGCAGCTCTTTTCTCTCTGGTTCCTTATCAGGTCAAAGCAGAACCTGGTTCCCTTCCGTGATAGCAAGTTGACTCGAGTTTTCCAAGGCTTCTTCACTGGTCGAGGTCGCTCCTGCATGATTGTCAACGTGAATCCCTGTGCATCTACCTATGATGAGACCCTTCACGTGGCCAAGTTCTCAGCTCTTGCCACCCAGGTAAAAAGTTGTAGGTGGATGTTTTGTTCACTTTGAGCTGGTACTTTTATTTAAAGAGGTTATTAGATACTAATTATGAATTCAAAATTTTCCCCCAACAGCTTGTTCATGCTCCACCTGTACAACTGGGATTCCCATCATTACACTCATTTATCAAAGAACACAGTTTGAAGCCATCTCCCAGCACAGAGACAGGAGCTAAGTTAGACCCAGGAATTGATGAGGACACTGAAAATGAAGCTGACATCTCTACTTATGGCAAAGAGGTAAGAATACAAGAGCTTTGGTGCAGGAGGTTGATGACTACACATATTCCATTCTGCATTCCAGATGGATCTGTGCCTATCTGGGGCCTGGGCATCTGATGACCTCTGATTATGTGTCCCAACTAGGAGCTTCTACAGGTGGTGGATGCCATGAAAGCACTGCTTTTGAAAGAACGGCAGGAAAAGTTACAATTGGAGATGCAGCTCCGTGATGAAATTTGCAATGAGATGGTGGAACAGATGCAACAACGGGAACAGTGGTGCAGGTACCAGCCAAGTGACCCCTTTGGTCTATCATCTGAATCAGAGGATGGGAAAAAGGGACTAAGATGGAGCTGGACCTCAAGAACTGTCTTCCAAAGTCACTTCTTATAATCTTTTCTTCTCTTTTCCCCTTTCTGGCAGTGAACATTTGGACACCCAGAAAGAACTACTAGAAGAAAAGTATGAAGAGAAATTAAAGATCCTCAAGGAGTCACTGACAAGTTTTTACCAAGAAGAGCTTCAGGTGAGTTGCCCTATACCAGCCCCACTTACCTGCTTATATCCATCACTTGTTTACCTGAGGTAAATAGATTTTATAAACTGATAGGGACAGAAATATGTAACTCCCTTTTCTCTGCTCTCCTTAGTGTACATTGTGTCATCTATGTTTGGTGAATTAAAGGTTTGGTTAGCTAGATGGTAAGTGCTAACAAACAAGTCTTTTTTTTAAAAAAGATTTATTTATGCACACAAGAATTGAGGCACAGGCCAGGGGCCTGGGAGGTGTGAGATTACACCAGAGACAGAGTGGGAAGCAGACAGGCAGATCTAGTGAAATACACTGCTGAGAGGAGCAGTGGGCGGGTCAGGAGAGGTCTGCTGTGCCATGTGGGTCACCTCCCTGGCCAGGAATCGAACTTGTGCTGTAGTGGTTGCAGAGAGCTTCGTGTGCAGGGAGGGCCCACAAACATGCTTTTAAGGCATGAGTATCAGGGAAGGCTGATATGTTCATTTGTTCAGCTATTCCTGCAGTATGTGTTGGACTGTGGACACAACTATACTTTCTGCTTAGGAGCGGGATGAAAAAATTGAAGAGCTAGAAGCACTCTTGCAGGAAGCAAGACAACAGCCAGTGGCCCATCAACAACCAGAGTCTGAATTGACCCTACGACGGTCACAGAGATTGATGGCTTCTGCCTCCACCCAGCAGCTTCAAGAAGTTAAAGCTAAACTGGAACAATGCAGAGCTGAGCTGAACTCTACCACGGAAGGTATGGAAGAAGATGAGGCAGGGACCAACAGTTCAGGGAAGAGCTGCTCTTCACATGCCAGCTCCAACATAATTTCTTCAACTGGGAGCTACATCCTTAACTTTTCACTTCAGGATACATGTGGCCTCACTTTTAATACCTGCTCAAGCTGCTATTAGCTAGTTCAAAAGGTAATTCCAAGGCAAGAACACCTACATATTAAGGTTGTTTTTTTTTTTCCTTCAGAGCTGCAAAAGTATCAGAAAATGTTAGATCCACCACCCTCAGTCAAGCCCTTCACAACTGATGTGGACAAGAAGTTAGAGGAAGGCCAGAAGGTAATTCCCTTTCTCTTACCTAAGGCAGCTTCCAGCACTCTAAACCCTGATTCCCATGAGGAGGAAAAAGCAAATAGCCTTGCAATTTTTTCTTCTCTTCAAATGGCCACCTGACTCCTCTAGGTCATTATTCTGGTTTCTTGGCCACATTCTGAATCCTACTCCTTTTTTTCAGAATATAAGGCTGCTGAGGACAGAGCTTCAGAAACTTGGTGAGTCTCTTCAGTCAGCAGAGAGAGCCTGCTGCCACAGCACAGGAGCCGGAAAACTTCGCCAAGCCCTAACCACGTGTGATGACATCTTAATCAAACAGGTTAGGGCAGCCTTTGTATCCCCTTTTCTCTCACCTGAGAATGAGCAGATTTTTAGCATGATTAATTATATGAGGGGAGTTTTTCTTACTATAAAAATAACCATCACAAAGCACAAGGTATAGGCATTTTTTGTTACAATTGTAGAGAAGCAGATCATATCACATTTCATCTGAATTGCTTAGACTATTGGAAACCATTACTATATGTACCACTAAAACAAAATACTAATGACTAAGCTCTAACATTTGTCACTAGATTTACTTATTTATGCATACCAGAGCTGGGATGTAGGCCAGAGGATGACAGAATGGAGAGCAGAACAAGTAGATCAACTAAAATACACTGCTAAGGGAGCAGCAGGCAAGACAGGAGAGGTCTGCTGTACCATGTGGGTCACCTCCCTGGCCAGGGATCAAACTTGTGCTACAGTGACTGCAACAGCTTCATAGTGCTGTGACTTAACCCTTTGCATCACTAGGTAGGCCCAATAATAAAAAGATTTTAATTCATATTTTAGAATAGACACAGCACTTGATACCTAGGAACTAAGGCTCTTGAAGGTTAGGTAAACTTATTCAAGCTCATACCACTCATTTCCAGTGCTAGCAAATACCATTCTAATGAGTTGCTTTTTCTTTAGATTCTTAAAGAAAATAGCTCCTATTTATTTAACCTCTCATTTTAAAAGAACTAATTTTTGTAGAAACAGTTGTTAGTAGGTGGCATATATTTTACCTTGACTTCTTGTTTCTCAAATGCACCTGACACAGATGTATTTCCTATAAATTTATCAATCTTCTTAGGATCAGACCCTGGCTGAGCTGCAGAATAACATGATGCTAGTAAAACTGGACCTCCGGAAGAAAGCAGCCTGCATCGCAGAGCAGTATACTGTGCTAAAACTCCAAGGCCAGGCTTCTTCTACCAAGAAGCGTGTTGGAGCCAACCAGGAGAACCAGCAACCAAACCAACAGCCCCCAGGGAAGAAACCATTTCTTCGAAACTTATTTCCTCGAACACCCACTTGTCAAAGCTCAGCCGACTGCAGTCCTTATGCCCGGATCCTGCGCTCACGACGCTCCCCTTTACTAAAATCTGGGCCTTTTGGCAAAAAGTACTAAGACTGTGCGGTAGGAGAGTAATCACGGTCCTTGATGTGGGAAACTGCTCAGCTTAAGAAGTAGGTCTCTTTTAAGCTTTACCAAATACCTCAAGCCCTGTCCAGAATGCAATTCTCAGATATTGTTTTTGTAATATAATCATCTATGTAATCTCATGCTTTTTTACTTATATACACACAAAAAATTATATTAAAGATATTATTCACATTTTTTATTTGAATTAAAATTTCGCAACATCACTCAAGGTTAAAAAGGAATAAACTAGGAACTCTTACACAGAAATGGTAGTAGAGACCAGTAACTAGTGTACAGCTAATTTAAGAAAGTTTGGTAAGAAATTAATTCCAGGGAAGTTATATATACTATATCTTCCTCAATATAAAAACTGAGCCCTCAACTCAGAATAATCCATACTATCTACTGTACAAAATACAGCAGATATTATATAGTCATAACATATTACCCCTATTAAATACATATGCATGGGCCTGAACCCTCCAACAGCACAGCAGAAATGATTCCTTTAACCTTGTTTAATCAGATTAAGACTGATGGAAACATTGTTGGAGATAGAAGGGGAAAAAGAAATAACATCAAAAATATTTACAACAGGCCAGCATGAAGTAAGTTTATTGTTCACAAAACTTATTCCAAATGTCCATGAAATTACCTGTAATCCTACCTCCTTGCTTTGCTTTTTATAGGGCTAAAGCTAACTATAGTGTCTTTTGCCCTCAGAAAAGACCATCAGCAGTCCCAGGTTCAGTGAGATTCTTCTTGCCCCTTCTTTTATTTAATTCTAGTATAATTTACTTCCAATTTTAAAACCAAATGCCTCCTCAAAACCATGTTTTGGAAAAATGTCTCCCTCCAGGAATAACAAACATATAGCTTCATTCCATTTAAAACCAGTCTCTGACATCAAATAATCATGCTCAGCAAATCTCAGAACAAAAACATGTCTATCCAGTGCCCTGACCTTAGGATATACTGTGACCCTACTTCCAGCAGAGGGTAGGGTGGCAGACTTTACTCCTTTCCTTTCCTCTCTAAAGCTGGCACTCCTAGCAGCATTAAAACTTTCATTCTTGTAGCACTGCCTGTGCTAAAGTGCTGTTAAAGGGATGTTTCTGGGGGAAGAAAAAAGTCTGGGAAGGAGGCCAAGATCTAAGGAACACTCTAAACAAAAGAGAGAAGTGCTTCTAACTGGCAAAGAAAAACAATGTCTGTTCCTGCCAGGGTTCTTCTGTCAATCTGCCTCTTAAAGTGAGTCTTATAAACTGTTCCCAAGGAAATGCTTCCATTTGTACAAACAAAAAGAGCTAAAGTCCTTGGAAGAACAGACGTGGCCATTCTTTACCTGGAGTTAAGGCTTACTATGAGTCTGGCAATGTGCTGGCTTGAAAGCAGCCAACTATGGTGTGACTGAAGACAAATTGAGTGGAGAAACTCTGCGTGTGGGAGTGTTATTAGCTGACAGTGATGCAGGGAGGAAAAAGGGAGCAGGCATCTCAGTTGAAGGAGTCTCGCCTTGGTTCCGTAGTTGTAGAATTTGCCGGAGCAACGCTTTACCCTCTTCCCGGGTCTGAAACAAAATCAGGCAACAAAATATGTCCAAGGCTACTCTTAAAAACAGGCTATAGTGTACTGATAAATAATCCCACACCCTGAAATCACGATAAAGTTCACAGATTTGAGCCTAAAATCCAAATTCTATTAAAGAACTGATACTTACATCATTGAATGCACAACACTTCTGGGCACAAGTTGAAGCTTCATCCCACAGCTTGCACTTAAAATAGTACTGGGCCAGATAGCGGAAAGCAGTGCTTTCCTCCAAGTGTTCCACTATTTCCTAGAGAGAGAAAGTAAGAATGACTGAGGAGAAAGGATAAGGTCAGCATCCCAACTCTCATGCTCAAGTCACATACCCCACAGGAATAAATGTCTTGGATATATTTGATGTAACACTGGGCAGCCTGTTCTGACTCAGTCAACTGTTCATGAAGCCTACAAAAGAAATTGATCTTTAAGTACAAATCAGATCACAAAGCAAGCTGATAAAGAGAGCTGATTAGACCAAAAAATGAAACTAAATAATTACAAATTTTAACATGTGGCACAGTAGGACACAGAATAGTGTTAGCGCCTAGATGGATGGTTACTTCAAAACTTAAAAATCATTGCTACCGGTGATGGAGAAATAGTAAGTTCAATAACATATTTAGACAGAAATGTTCTGGTAGTACCTAGTGAAATGTTAAAAATATAACAAGGGATTCAGATATCATTCCTTAAAAATCTGGAAAAGAATATGGCCCTCCCTGGTGGCGCAGCGGGTTAAAGCACTGCACTGAGAAGCTAAAGCCACTTCCCCATGAGTTCGATTCCCACCTGCCCCGGAGGCGACCACATGGCATGGCAGACCTCTCCTGACCCGCCCGATGCTCCCCTCAGCAGTGGACTTCATTGATCTGCCTGATCTGTTCCTCACTCTGTCTCTGGTGAAGCCTCTCGCCTCCCCTGAGCCTCTGGCCTGTACCCCAGTTCTGTATGTACAAATAAATAAATCTTTAAAAAA